CTAGAGAAGTTGTTAGGTGTGAATCGGCTCTTTAGATTATATTCCATCAATAACAAGGCAATTTTAATCTAACGCTTTTAATAGACATTGTGTTGAAGAACTCAACTAGCTTATTTTTTTCTTCATTCACTCAGTAACCTTCTCTACCAGTACAATTTATGATGGAAAAAAAAAAAAAAAATTAAGACAACTTGTGTTGGCTTAACATAAGACAATTAAGGATTGTCTAGAAGAGGTCCCAAGTGTGTGTTAGAGTTGCACTGCACAATCAACCGGATTTAATATCAGTTGTTGTGGCAGAAATGCAAAATAAACAACACTATTCAATGAATAAATAAGCAATCACAAAGAATTAAAAATAAAATCACACACAAAAACACAAGATATACATGGTTCACCCAAATCTTAGGGCTACATCCATGGAGCATACTTGTCCTACAAGATGAAGAATTACAATGGAGAATTCTCTCTCAATCTCTCTCAATTGCTCTCTAACACAAATTTATCTCTAATTTTCACACCCTCTAAAATCTTATTAGAATTGATATTTATGGAGTCCCAAACTTGTCCTATAAGAACTTGCCTTTTGTAAAATCCAAAACCAATAGGGAAGTTAAATCAGATCAGGAAACTGAATTTTCTTTAAAATTCAGTACTCTTGCAGTTTCCATATAATTAAATCTTTCTAAAAAAATAATTACCTAATCAGACTCTACCAAACAACAACAATGTGTGTGTGTGTGTGTGTGTGTATATTAAGCGTGTTGTTTGGACAACTCATCCGTAAGAAAATTAAGAGAATCGCCTAAAGCCCCCAATAGGAGGGGAGTGTGACGGCCCAAGTTTTTTAACCCGGTGCGTTGGTGATAAACCGAAAGTTGATCCGATGACGGATCCGAAATGCGGAAGCAATGATAAACTAAGGTCTTAAGAGATAAGAATCACTCCCAAGACACCAGTGTGATCCCCCATGAGATCACAGAACTTAAAGAAAATAAAAACGGTAGTAAGGGTTAAAAAGGATAAGATTTGCTACCCAAGGGGCAAAAAGGTCAATTCACAATAAAATAGAGAAACTTGACTCAAAACATGTCAAACAAGGTGAATATAACCCAATCTAATCATTTTGAAACATTCTAAGAGGTTCCGTGAACATTGGCTAAGAATCCCACAAAATGCCCCGTCCCGGTTGAAGTGAAAACTGACACTACTTCACTAAAATATGAATAACTTTCACTGTGTTTGGAATTTGAGAATGGGATCAGTACCATTGGAAAGCTGACTCAAAATCCTTGAGTTTAGGCTCAAGAATCACCCTATTTGAATTAGAAACGAAGAAGTTATGACCCTTTGAAGTTGGAAGTTCAGTGTTAAAACTCAACAGAAGCAAGGCTCAGGTTCTAGCTATTTCGGTCGACCGAAATGAAAGTACTGAGAGTAGAAAACAAGAAGGAAAGTGCCTACTTCTTTTGGTCGACCGAAATGAACCATCGGTCGACCGAAATGGTCCTAAACAATAGAAAAGGCCACTGGAATGTGATGTTTACTGTTCATCGGCAATTCCATTTGCCATCGGTCGACCGAAATGGAGTTTCAGTCGACTGAAACACCACGAAAAGCTGCTGATGAACCTGCTATCAGCCTAAGGTGCTAAGGTCTAAACTCAACTTTGAATCCCTTCATGAATTGGTTTATAATGCATGTGTAAAACTGATTTTTCATGAGTTTTCAGAATGTAAACATGTCAACAAGTTTGATATGAGTAAATGAATATAAAACAATGGCCCATGGCCTCATACACTTCATTTACAAGATTTTGACTTCTCAAACCTCAAAATTTGATTAAAAGACATTTGAAGCAAAACTTTGTTACCCAAAAGTGTCAAAGTACAAAAATAGACATGCTTGGCCCTTGGCCTCATTACATACATGCTTCAAATGTCAAAAGTGATTACTTAACATCTTTTCACATCAAGGAGGTTACATAATCTTCAACAGTACCATACATACATGGTGTACAAAATATGATAACAAAAGAAATGCATACTAAACACTTGCATGTCAATATACAAAAATGCTTCATTTAGCTCAAAAGTTTCTAAGGATGATGAGCCTCCAAGAAGATAGTCTCTTTACCTAAAAAACAATCCAAACCACTAGGGTGAGTAATCAAGTTACTCATAGGATGTGGTGCATGCGCATACCCTATAGTTTCAAGTATAACGTGAACCAAACATAGACCATCACAAGGGTGCATTCCATCTAACGTCTATGTTCCCATGGTGCTCTAAGGGATCATCTCAAGCTATACAAATGTTGAAACGGTAAACACATAACATCCAAGCATACATAAGCAAGTACACTAACCATATTAAAACTAAGATTTACCAAATCACAAGCTACAAGAAATCCATGATTTACAACTTGGAAAGTAATGCGAAATCAAGTAATGGAAAGACTAGGATATGTGGCCATGAGACCATACAAATTATTTTGGGTAATAATGACCCACAAGGTACTACATAGTGCGTACTATGACTTAGGAGAATTCCTATCCTCCGTACTAGAGCCAAACTCTAACCATCAAACATTTCATATCCTTACAAGCTTCCAAAAATCAACAAATTCATGACATTTATACAATCTCAATGCATGAACTACCTACCAAGCACAAGTAGGGTAAAACCACACAAACCATACCCTAAGGTTTCATGTCTAAAGTGGCAAGCTAATGATACTACACATTATGCCACATGGATTTAATATTAATGTAGGCCATAATTACTAATTATGCAATGTAGTAATTTACCTACAAATAATTTCAAATGATACGTACTAGACTTTCAATGAAATCTATATTACTTAACAACACAAGAGTAATTTCAAGATATTCATCATAAACTCTCAATGAAATCACAAGTATTAGGCAAATCATTAAACAATAACATACATATACAATTTTATAGTCATATACATGCTTTAATCCACAAATCCTAAGTCAAACATACAAAATCTCTATTTATATGCAAATACAAGAATTTTAAAGCATGTAATCAATATATATCAAGCTCCGATATATATAAAACCCAAAGAGGATAAACATACAACCACCCCTACCTCAATAGAGAATCGAATCTCTATAATCCAAGCAACCAAGCTCAAAATGTAAAACAAGTTTAGGGTTATTGAAGAGGAGAGTGAGGAGAATCTTTTCTCTCCCAAGGTTTTTACTCTAAGGTGAATAGAAGAGTGCCAAATGTGAAGTCAAAGTTCTATACTAAGCTTTCTTCTAATGGAGTCTTTGCTAGGGTTCATGAGAGATAATGAAATGAAGAAAGTAAAGTGTAAAATGGTGAGTGGAAGCACTAGAAATCATCCACTCACTATATGTTCTTGCACTACCTCTCTCACACACACAATGCAAGACTAAATCTTGAGCTTACACTTGTCACTAATCTAATGCCTCTTCTAAGACTAAATCCCAAGCCCACACTTGTCACAAATCAAAGGCTACATGTGCACTAATCTAGGCCAACACATGGATGAATCTCCACCCACCAAATGTCAATAAGTCATGGTGCCAAGTCTCTTCACCTAAATGCCAACAAATGGCTTCATGAGAGCGTGACACTTGTCACACTTTCCAAAAATTGCAAAATGGTCATTTTTCAAAATATCTTCCATAATAAATTGCAAAAAGGTTTCCAAAACGAAAAATAATTATTTTACATAATTACACTAAAACTCCAAAATTACAAATAATTACACTAAAGTATGCATTCATAACCTTTACAAGAAAAGTATTAATCTAGCATGCTTTTCAAGAAAAGTAAAAATACCAATATCATAGAAATCAAATACCATGAATGCATGCAAAATCGGAATCAAATTCAAGCACAACAAGTGAGGTTATGCAAGAAAAAATGAAAAACGACTAAAAAACGAAATAAGGAAAAGACAAAATAGGAAAAAGATGAAAAAAAAATCGCCGAAAATGAAAAAAGAGGAAAAAGACCAAGTCATTACTGGGAGCCCCATATCTAATTATATTAGTTTTATATTTATTTCTTTTAAATGCGTTGTAAGGAGTATCTCATACATAGGGCAATTAAGGGAGTAGTCTAAGTCCCAATAGGTTTAGAGGCCTTATATCTCATTACATTAGCACTTGTCATGTATTTCTTATGATTTAATTATGGACTTATGGCTCATGTATTATATTAGTTACCAAATAAATGCAACTGTTCTTCTATTGGTCAATACATGCTTCTTTTATATTAGTGTTTGTATATATATGTATATATATGTATTAATGAATTATTTATGCTTAGTGTATTGTATTGATTACCAAATAAATACAACTGCTTGGTCAATTCAAGTCTTTTTAGTCTCATCTTATAATTACTTCATTTTTTTTATCAAGATTTTTTCTAATTTTTAAATTCTCCATATTAAAACTCGTTCAAAATTTTATACTTTGTAATTTATTGACTCTATTTTAGGTAAATTTGCAGCACAATTAAATTACTATCTATTAAGTTAACAAATGTAAATGGTGTTTTTATATTTTCTCAAGGTTATTGCAACTAAGTTAAGAGAATAATTTCTAAATAAAAAATATTAATACTATTTTAATATAATCAAAGGTGATGATGATGACGACTTTATAAATTGTTATCAACCCTAATTGTAACATAAATTTCATTTTTTATGACCTAATTGGAAAAGTGCGTAGTGGGTATGCCGTCCACATTCCCTTAATTTGCCGGGATATAAAAATTTTAAAAAACTTAAAAAATTTTAAAAAAATTGTGTTAAGCTTAGACTTTTTATAACCCTTGAGTTTTTTCATTTATTATTTTTGATTTTTGATCTTTCATTAACGCTCGAGGTTGGGCAAGCCCTTGGGGCCTGGTGGACAGCCTCAATCCTTCGGTACGACGTCGCTTGACCTGGATGATTTTTCTCCTATTTGACCTTTCCCCTGACCGCAAAAGTCAAGGAATGCGTAATCTCTCTCTCCCTCCCCCCCTCTCTCTCTAAAAATCACTCTTCCGTAGCTTACACTTCTCTGTAAGCTATTTTCTCTCTCCTCCCGCCGGTATGGTCGCCGGAATCTGACGATATCACCGGGAAACATCTCAATTGATATCCGGCTTCGATCGGGTCGTCGAATTGTACGGCGATCGGCTGATCTTTACATATATTTATATATAATATTATTATTGATCTTCGTTGATGGAAGATTGTTTGAGTGGCGACGAAGATTATTATTATTCTGATCGAGATTCTCTCGACGGACTTGAAAATGAAGAGTCCGATTTGCAGTGGATCCCTCCCAAAGGTCCTTCAAGCAAGGTATTCGATACCTGCACATACATATACAAATACATGTTAGGTTTGCTTTTTTTTTTTTTTAAGTCTAACATTTTCTTGGATGATGGTAAAGCTTTCGGTTGTATCATCTGCATGTTATTTCCTTTCTATCTCTATCTTGGAAAAGTTTCAAATATTTTTTCTTGGATTATTCAGTACTATATATATACACACTATTATTGTCACTTAGTTAGATTGAGATTGTTGATTTGAAGTTTTAGTGATTGAGTTAGTGGTAATTTGGTTGTTGTGGTTCAGAACAGTTATTATTATTATTGTTGTTGTTGTTGATTTTTGGGGGAATGGGGGAAGGGAAGCTTTGAAACAGGTCTAACTCTATTAAATGGATTGAAAAGATTCAATTTTTTAGTGATGCCTGCTATCTTTTACCTTTAATACTTTATAGGTAGTGGGTCGATTTTTTATTTATTTATTTGCAACCAAGATGAAAGTAATTTTAAATTTAGGGACATATGTGCATCTTCATCTATGCAGAATTGAACTATCTTTGCTTTGTCAAGTAATTTTAATCTTGCCATATTTCCCTTTCATTATTTTTATTTATTTATTTATTTTTTTCTCTTATCTTATTTTTAGGACTTAAATTTGTAAGACAAATAAGTACAAGGATAAACTTCATCCCCTCAATTTAAACTGACGAACACTTTTATGATTTGTTAATTTTATTTTGAATAGTTTTAAGGAGTGTCTGTTTCCTTTTATGTGCATTTCCAAACAGGTTTCTGAAATTGATATGTTCCCTTAACCCTTTTTGGGCCTTCTGCAGGTAATCACTAGAGAGTCGCTTCTGGCTGCACAGGTAAAAAAAAAAAAAAAAAAAAAAAAAAAAAAAAAAAAAAAAAAAAACCTAACTAATTACCTCTTTTATGGTGCGCTCTCCTGACTATATTTGCGTTCTCCTATTAGTACTGATCTTTGAACTACTATGCATGTGTAGAGGGAAGATTTGCGTAGAATAATGGACTTGTTATCGGTAGGAGAACAACATGCTCGGACTCTTCTTATTCATTACCGTTGGGATGTCGAAAGGTTGTTTGCGGTGCTTGTGGAGAAGGGGAAGGCTTGCTTGTTTGCTGAAGCAGGTGTGACTGTGGTTGACCATCATGAGCTTCACTCACCACTTTCTTCTGTAGTAATGTGCAATATCTGCATAGATGATGTACCTGGTAGTGAGGTGACAAGAATGGCCTGTGGCCATTACTTCTGCAACAGTTGTAAGCATTTTGCCATTTGTTCTCTCTCTACTGCAGCATAGTGGATGCATGAAGATTAAAAAACCATAGAATATATTATATGCTCCCTCTATCCCACAAAAAATGTCCACCTTTCCATTTTTGGCTGTCCCAATTCAAATTTCAATGTACTATTTTTTAAATATTCCTACTATACCCTCCTTAACTTGAAATTATAAAAGCAATTAAAGTATGTGGACCCACCATAGAAGGGTATATTTGGAAATTCATTCCCTATCACTTTAATAAAAATATATTAAAAACTACACACTTAAAAAGTTAGGTTTTCAGAAAGGGACAATTTTTGTGGGACAGAGGGAGTATGTAGTCTTAATGCATAAGTGAACACCTAGATAAAATAGGACTGTGTTCCTTTAATTATAGCAATGCGTTGATGGATTTGATTATTTTTTATATGCTATGAAATTCTTACTTACAAAATTTGAGTCCAGTCTACCAATGTTTTAAGTCTGTAAATCTTTGCCTTTTCTTTTGTTGCTAGGAGACATCTGTTGTACTTCATTTGAAGTTATAAGATATTGCATACATTATTATCTATGGGGCTTATTCTTTATATTTCCTATTTTTAGGTTGGACGGAGCATTTTATTGTGAAGATAAATGAGGGTCAAAGTAAGCGTATTAGGTGCATGGCACACAAATGTTATGCTATTTGTGATGAAGCTATTGTTAGAAATTTAGTTAGCAAAAGGCACCCTGATCTAGCGGAGAAATTTGATCGTTTTCTTCTTGAGTCATATATCGAGGACAATAAAATGGTTAAATGGTGCCCAAGTGCTCCTCACTGCGGGAATGCAATACGTGTTGAGGATGATGAATGTTGTGAGGTTGAATGTTCATGTGGCTTACAGTTCTGTTTCAATTGCTTATCTGAAGCACACTCTCCTTGTTCATGTCTGATGTGGGATTTGTGGACGAAGAAGTGCCGCGATGAATCAGAAACAGTTAATTGGATCACGGTTCATACAAAGCCTTGTCCAAAGTGTCACAAACCTGTGGAAAAGAATGGTGGCTGCAACCTTGTGAGCTGCATCTGTGGGCAAGCCTTTTGGTGTGTGTTCTTTCTACTAGTCTCTGTTTCATTTGTTCAAGTTATTTACATCTTCGTAATCTTCTGATGAAGGACATGATTTTTTTTCTTAAATATGTTTTCCAGTGCCGTCCGTAAGTGCTATTTACATCATGTCATTTACTTAGCTGTCTTTTACCCAGGATTTTTTTAACTTCTTTTTCTTTTCTTAGAGTGGGACATTGACCTTCTCTGAAGTTTCGTTTAAAAAGAAGTAGAAGGATATATGTTTTGGAAATTATATTGACATCTCTTTTTGGTTTTGCTTTAATTGTTGATAAAATTCCCCTTCAGTAAACAAGCTGTCAGCAATGAGGCCGGGTTTCAAGCCAATTTTGCTGTTATTAAATTCGTTCTATTTTTTTTTTTTGTTTAAACCTTTGCCACTAGTCATAGTGACGATGTTGACAACAATTTGCTATACAGTTCTCCCACTCTCTCTAATAGACTTCTCTTAGTTATGTATTTGTCTTGCCCTCTCTAACAAGTGATTGTTTTATCAACTCTTTCTATAGCTCTGTTTAATAAACTACTTAAATAAATTTATAAATCGACAAATCGACATAAGTTAATAAATAAAAAAAACTGACATAAGGTAATAAATAAATAAAAACTGAAATTCGACAATTTTTCGTGGAATTTCTCTCTATGAGTCTACTCCCTCTAAGCATATTTAAAATTTTTAAAAGGAGTGGTGGTGGAAGGTAGTGGTGGTGGTTGAGGCGGTAGCGGCGGTAAAAGGCGATGGCGGCAGTGGCGGTGGTTGTAGTGGTGGTGGTGGAAGAACGAGGGACCAAGAGAGAAATACATCACAATCTTGTCAATCAATGAAAAGTACATAGACAAATTAGTAAAATAACAAATTTACTTAAAAAGAAAAATCGGCTTATTAAAAGGAGTTTCTACAAGTAACATTTTTTTACTTCTCTGAAATGGACTTCCTCACCATCGGCTTCCTGGAAAAAGCCTTTACATACGTGTAACCAAGCGTCGCATATATATATATATATATCTATTTATTTCTAAAAGGAATTTTGGAAGCTCCCCCAAACAAGGCCTTTATTATACTATTTTTTCAAAATGAGCATATTGAACACTATGTTATATAAAGAAATTATTTTACTCTAAAAAAGTAAAATAAAAATATTAAATAATATGAATTTTTTGTAATGTCCATGTGTCTTTTTGTTTGAAGATTTGACACATCTGGCATGTGGATACATACCTGAACCCAACACACGTACCCGAGTCCATGTAACATAGAGAGAAATATACTTTTAACTTGTACAGTCTTGGCCTTTGGCGTATATGGTGATATGTACCAAAAACTTCTTGACAACATCTCTATTAATCCTCTTCAAACTGCTCACCAAATCAGTTGGAATGTGGCTTACACTTTGGATGTTGGGCTGCAAGAGCTGGTGGGAATGTTCAGTTTTTAATTTCTGGTGTTGTGTAATTTGAACTGGTTACGTAAAGTGGTTAGGGAGCTGAGTTTTGCTTCTTTCTTTTCTGCAGTGTTTTTCCTTTATTGGGATTTTTCTTGTTAATTTCCCTGCTTGCCAATTTCTGGAAGTGGGTGTTATTTAGTTGCCTTGTAAGGGGGAGGCCTTCCTTTCCTTTGGTTGCCTGTTTAGCTGTTTAATAAAAGCTTGCCTAGGAAATATATATATATATATATATATATATATTTAAAGAGGCGATATTTTCACTCCCCTTTTCTATGTTTGCACTCCCATCTTAAAACAAATGACACTTTTAACCCTAATTTCACAATTGAATTTTGTTTTATTTTATTTATTATTATTTTTTTTTCTAATTACACAACTACCCTTCAAATATGGAACGATCTTTTCATCTCTTTTTCTCTCTCTCCAATCTTTATTGTTTTTGGTCTCTTTTTGATTGGATAAAAAAAAAATCCCAAAAGAAAAGTATGAAAAAATAAAAAGATTCTCTCTTGAATAAATTATCTCTGTTGACACGACTCAAAAAAAAGTACCCCCAAAAAAAGTTCTCTTTTAAATAAATTATCTCTTTTGACAGGATTAAAAAAAAAAAAAAAAAAACCTTTGATTAAATTATGTCTTCTAATAGGACCAAAAGATAAAGAAAGTATAGTATGAAAAAAAATAACAGTTATCTCTGGTGAATTAGTTCTCTCTTTTGACAGGACCCAAAAAAAAAAAGTACTCTCAAAAAATAAGCTATATCTGTTGAATAAATTCTTTCTTTTGATGGGACCACCCAAAAAAAAAAAAAAAAGGTACTAAATGAAGTAAAGAAGGTAAAAGAAGTTATAGTTTATAATTTAAAGGGTAGTTTTGGTATTATAAAATAAGGGATGATGCATTAATGAGTTTAGGAGTCGTCTTGTAATTTCTTTTAAAAAAAAAGGTAAGTGGAGTGCAAATGTAGAAAAGGAGAGTATAAATACCTTCTGTCTTCTAAAAAACTTGTAAAGAAGAAGTCAGTTTTATTTCTAAAACACTTGAGGGGTAGCTGGTGTTATTTAAGCAAACCTTGGGGGAGGTGATATAGTTTACTCTTTATTTATTTATTTATTTTTTCTTGGTTGTGCTAAGGGGCCATTTCTTAGTGCATTAGTAAAATGTTCTGATTGTCAAGGGTGGTGAGAATGTTGGTTAATATCTTGAAAGCAGCCGCTTTGTGCAAATAATGCCAAATGTTAGGTCTGGTCCACCCCTCTCAGCACCTTGATTAACAAGGTAAGGAACTTTTTTTTTTTTCCTGGTGGTGATTTTCTTGTTTTCTTCTACTCTGGTGATGAGGTGGCTCTGAAAGCAGTTAGAAATCAACTGTAATCAATCTGTTTAAGATGTTCTTAGTGATAATTTACACTAGAAAGATTTTTATCATCATCCTCCTTACCTTAAATCCCATATGAATGGGGTTGGACACATGAATTTTCTTTTTCCATTCTTTTCTATTACATGCCATCTCACCCTAATATTTATTTTTTGAATATCTTTTATGATCAGTTAATCTCACAACAATTTTGGTCATCTTTTTTGTCTCTTACCTTCTATGCCTCTTCTTACTAGTGCATCCATAAGTCTTCGTTGTATATGTCTATACCATTGAAGTCTAAACTCTCTTATTTTCTTACTAATGGGCGTTACTCCTAATTTCTCTCATTCCTTGGTTACCATATCTATTCTAGTCACTCTGTCCATCCATCTTAACCTACTCATTTTTGCTACGTGAAGGCATTGCTCTTTCTTTCTTTCTTTTTTTTTTTTCAAAGGCTGGCATCGTAGCCCATATAGAGTAGTTGGCCTGATACTGTCCTATATAATTTTTCTCTTAACCTATTTGTGATTCTTTTGTTCTATAGAATGCCACTAGCTTGTCACCATTTTATTGATCATAATTCAATTCTACTAGTTAGATCACATCTATTTCTCCATCTTTTTGTATTATTGATTCTAAATATTACAAGTGGTTATTTGAAGCCCACACGGGCAACTCGATGAAAGGTCTTTGGGGGTACTCCCCTAAGTTGAAAGCCAAAGATTTCTGTGTTTATTATAAGATGGATGTTCTGCGTGCATCCCTGAACCTCGATATGGGACCATAATGCAAGTCACTTTGCCACGTCTCCATTAGATGAAATTATAAACATATATTCTTATTTGTGAATTTGCATTCCTTAGTTATTATTATTTTTTTTTATCAAGCTTCTCTCTTGCTTTGAGCATTATATATGGCAGGATGAATAATGTTAGTTAAGATATTGTTCTTGAATGACTAAGATTACAAGAATAAGGCAGAATGAATGTTAACATGTATAGAAATTTCCCCCCAAAAGATTAAGATATACAAATTTATGTTATGTTGTTTATTTGGTGGGTAAAAACAATTGATGGGCTGTAAATGACTACTGATTCATGTTGAAAGTTTTTTTTGTCTTGTTATGGAGAGGGTGGAAAAGGAGTTGGTTTACCAAACTGTCACGACCGCAAATTTAAACACAGGAAGCTCTTGTCCCAAACCTAAATAATCCGTCGTAATACTAAATCAAACCAACACTCCAACCTGTGTCTCCATCAATACTAAACAGTTTAATATATCAAGGCCGTCTGTTAAACTCCCATAAAAAATATAGTATATGAGTATCATCTATGATTCATGTATTAACTATGAACAACAAAAGATAACTATACAAAGAAAGAGAAGTAGATGGTTGCCATCTCTCTAACACGTGCCTCCATCAACGAGTACCTGAAAAATAATAATGGAGTGAGCTCACAAGCTCAACAAGGGTATTGTTAAACACTATCATTGCTCAGCAAATTGACCTTGCCTTATATTCCCATATTTAATTATGATTCATGTTAACAAATTAGGTTGTCTCAATATAAGTAAATTAAATTCTCATTAATTAACTTATTCTAATATCAATCTTACATGATTATTAATATCTAATTAATTATTATATTTGCTACCGCTTGCACATTTATTACAATTTCCTTCACTTAAACCTTTTCTTAGCTAATCATCTTGATTAACTTATTTTTAAATTTCCACTTATCTAACATGAATCCTAGGCTCCCCTCAAACAGGTGGGTTGTTCTTAAAGCCACGAGTATAGGATCCAACACTCCCATACTCCAACAAGGTGGTGTGCATTGCATAGTCCTGGACTACTGAAGACATGTAATTGGGCTTGTACGTCTACTAGATGGTCCCAGACCACGTCCACATAATAAAGGCACGCTCAGCCCAATGGCCATAACAAGAAGGGTAGTGCACTCTGAAATAGGCTGGTCTTGGACCAAATGACTAGCAAAGTCCTCATAGAGTTAGTCCCGGACTAACTATAAAATTAGTCAGATAATATCCATACAATTCCCAATACACAACACATCCTTATCCACGTCAAAAAGTATATGCATAATCCTTGCTCTACTACTATGTTTTGACCATGGCTACAATACTCATTCAATTACTGCTATATATATATATATATATATATATATGAATGTATTAACACAGGTATTCTAATATAATCAAATTGAAATGCACACAACCTCACTAATTCATATGCACTGATATATATTGTATACATACAAAGGTGACTACACAGAAGTAGATACATTCAGAGATTATATGTATATTATATTTATATATATATGCACACCTATATACACATTTATGGGTGCACAACATTACACTGATCCGCTGATTCGTATTCATAACCCCATAATTTGTAGCAACACAAAATCAAATCTATCTTTTATTCTTTTCGCATTATCCATACTCAAATAAACAATTAAAACCTATATATATACGCATTTATGATTATAGGCAAAATCAATTCAACAGAACCCAAAATCTGAATTAATCCCATTGCAAGTTGAAACCCATTAACAAATGAAAAGAATATAAGTACTAATATTACTGATTATCAACTCAAATGGTAAACCAGGCATAAGCAGATATGTACGTACTCACACACACATATATATTGTTTAAGCATATGTAGATACACAAATCTAAATCTTTGTGAAGGTACTAAAAACCTCTGTTACATGGACTCTTCAAAAGTAGTGAAGTACCCGTGTCGGACACGTATCCCTCGGACATGGGTATGGGATATGTGTCCGACACTTTTGGTTGGACATTTAATTAAAAAGCATATCCTATCATTTAATTCCATTTTATTATTTCTTTAAAATGAGTTAAATGCCTATATTGAACATTATATTAGATAAAAACATTACTTTACTCTAGAAAATAAAATAAAATAATTAATAAAAAGAATATTTAGCTGTGTCCGTGTCCTTCTGTTTGGAGATTTGACACCTCCTACGCATGGATACATATCCGTGTCCGACACCTGTACCCGAGTCCATGTAATATAGCTAAAAACCATATACTGAGTGCATTGTCCCAACTATCTGGGTCATCAATGAACTATATCAGATAAAAGTCAATAAATTCCTAGATGAATCCATCAAGTAATTAAGACTTACCATATGAATACATGTATGTTATACATATACCACAGTGAGCATGAGCAATCTTTAGAAGTAACAAATCTAAGATTAATACTTCTCTCTTAACAGATTAAACAATCATATATTCACATCATCACCAAACAAGCATCATCATATTTAGTACATAAATTCATCAAATTAAATTTCATACATGCTTGTTCCTGTCAACTAACTGCATCCTGAAATTAAATATAACCCAAGGTACATACTGATTTATCTATTCTAAATTTATCACCAAGCATCTAATTAACAGGTTACGATAATATATGAAAATATAGTGCAAGATCAACTTGCCTTGAACTGTAGTTTTTCCTTTTATGTAATTTTCCTCTTCTTCTTCCTCTCTCTCTCTCTCTCACACACACACACGCGTTCTGTTATGTGACCCTTTTCTATTCTTATTTATTTAAAATAAAAGTGAAGTCAGAAAAAGGGTTTAAATGTAAAGATTTTTGGTTTGGTGGGGAAATCTGTAAATTATGTGAGTTGAAGGGGTTGAATGTAACAAACAAAAACAATATAAAAAAGAAAAGAAAAGAAGTTTTTGAATTGGATGCTGACATACATGTACAATTATATTCTCTTGCCATTACATCTCTAGACTGCAAAGAAAGCTTGACCTGTTGCTTGTCTCTTGGGCTCCTGATAATTCTGGGACATTCATGGCATAATCAGGAAATTTAACAAAGCATCCAAATAGCATGAAATTCATTTCGTAAAATATCTTGCCCTCTAGGCCCATGATGAAATATTATAAACCTGAAAAATATCATGTGAATTTACAGAGTTCATATTCCAAATACTCACAGGATTGCTAGTGACTTGCAGTTTTTTTTGTTTTTTGTCAATGGCAAGAAACTCACACAGCCACTTTGCTTCTTTGGAGACTCGATCCCTCACCATCCATTTTGGGAGGTAGAGGAGATACCACTGGGCCACAAGGCCCTTGGTGCTAGTGACTTGCAGTTAGAATGGCTGAAGTGGTAGAAACCACTTTATCCTATGTATTTTAGGCTTGCTTTGGCAATCTATATTTTTTTCCTTTTGGGAGATTGGATGAATACTATCTTTCTACTTTTCATTCTTTTAAAAGCCAATTGTTTAGTGGGAGCATATGAGTTGACATTGTTGAGATGATCATATTATGTCTGTGTCATATATATATATATTCCAGGTTATAGGTTGATTGCTTTTTGGAACCATTTTTTTAAAGCCTGTGGCCTTACTCATCATGACTTTTTGCAGTAAAGTTTAAGTTGAATTATTTTATCTTACTTTTAGTTCCTTTTTGTGTAGTTGGCTTTGCGGTGGGGCTACTGGCCGAGATCATACTTGGTCACAGATCAGTGGTCACAGTTGTGGTCGCTATAAAGAAGATAGAGAGAAAAAGGCGGAGCGTGCAAAGCGTGACCTTTATCGATACATGCATTATCATAATTTTTACAAAGCTCATACTGATTCTTTCAAGCTTGAATCTAACCTGAAGGAGACCATACGAGAGAAGGTATTGAATTCGGAAAAGAAGGATTCAAGACTTAGAGATTTCAGCTGGGTTACAAATGGACTTTACAGGCTCTTCAGATCAAGACGGGTTCTATCATATTCTTACCCATTTGCATTCTATATGTTTGGTGATGACTTGTTTAATGATGAAATGACAAATGAGGACAGGGAAATAAAAAAAAATTTATTTGAGGATCAGCAGCAACAGCTCGAGGCAAATGTTGAGAAGCTATCAAAGTTTATAGAAGAGCCATTTGATCAGTATACGGAAGACAAAGTTATGGAGATACGGATGCAAGTCATCAATCTCTGTGGGATCACTGATACCCTGTGCAAGAAAATGTGAGTATGGCTGTTGTAAAGCCTGAAACCTTATTAAAATTATTGAGACTCATGCATCTTCTGACTTCTTGCAGGTATGAATGCATTGAGAATGACTTATTGGGTTCTCTCCAATTTGGTATCCACAACATAGCTCCATACCAGTCGAAAGGCATAGAGAGGGCAGCCGAACTTTCTGTCTGTTTGGGTGCTAAAGTTAACAACACTGAGAAATATCCAAACCTAGAGTATACAAATGGTAAAATGACTTTGTTTGTAATCCCTACTCGCTATGTGCTCGTGAAGTATTACTCTTATATTTCTGATTAGTGGTTGAAATTTAATGTGGAATTCCTTAGGTTAGCTTTTCATTAATTATCTTGATTATTGGTCACATGCATAGGACTTCGATTGAGCTCGGATTTTATTTTATTAATCTGGAGTCGGTTAATGGATATATCTGCCATTCTACTCTATTTGGGGCCATATGTAATGTTTGCCAAAGCTACCATGTCTTTTTTCAACATGAACCTAAATGGCTTTTCTCAACTTGAACCTACCATGTCTTTTCTCAACCTGAACCATACCATTGTTTTTACAATTGAACTTCATTTCACATGAATAAATCATCTCAGCTGATGAAGCTTTTACAAATTTGTCAGGATCTCTAATTTTTCATTCTTTCTTGTCACAATATTATTTCTCATGTCACTTTTGATCTTCTCAATGCCTCATCTTGTAGACTCATATAAACTCGAATTATAGGTATGCCTTTCTCTGACTGCATGATGTTATCATAAAACTTTGATGTATTCTGGCTGTGTAAAATATTGAAATTGAGTTTGATGGGTGTTCTTAATCGCTAATATCAGTAGCATCCTGAAATTTTATAAGTAGAATTTCTTTTATAGTTTTAGTATAGAGTCGGATATTGATAATATAATGATTACGCTTCGAAACCTAAAGATTATCCAAAGAGACTATTTTTGATACTTAAGGTTAAAAACACAAAAGGATGGTGAGATGGGTGATGATACAATTTGTAGAATTGGAGCAGGTTGGACAAAATGGAAATAGTCTTGTGGGATTTTATGCGATAAGAGAATAACAAATAAATTAGAAGGAAAATTTTATCAAACAGTTATTAGGCCAACTATATAAAAGGTTCGAAGTGTGGGGCTGTAAAAAAATAAAAAATAAAAAAAAATTCAGGTGGCAAGAATGAGGATGTTAAGGTGGAAGATAGGAGTGACTAGAAGAGACAAAGTTATTAATCTTTTTTTTTCCTAGTTGGTACTCACACACACGTCTCTTCTGAGACTTGAACCCCTGACCTCCCTTTGGGAAGTAAGAGGTCGATACCGCTAGGCCACTGGCCCGTTGGTTGACAAAGTTACTAATCAAATTTTGAGGGAGAATTTTGGAGTGTTGCCAATTAGTGATAAAGAGAAAATTGACAGGTGGTATGGACATATCCAAAGAAGATGTATGGATGCTTAGATATGAAGAGGGAGATTAATTTGCATAGAAGGTAGGAGACTAAGAGTGCAACTGAAGTTAACATAGTATACAATCATTAGAAATGATCTAAAAAATTTCAATATTATAGGAGAGTAATAGAAAAGAATTAGAAAAGACAATTAATGTGACTCCATTCATTAGATATGTTGTACTGCCTTCTAGTGCATTTATGATTTCTAATGAGTATCTTCTGTAATGAAGATTTCCCACAATGGTTGTTTTCCTTGAACTTTGCATAGTTGCCCTTTATTTTCAATGCATGTCACCACAATCCCTCCTTAAAAGTAACATATTGCAGAAAGTATGACTCGCTATTGTAGAGGTTGTGTACAATTCAGAATCAACAATTAATCACTGCGTAACTGCATATGGTTCTACAGGCCATCCCATTTGCAAAGATGAATAAACCAATATTCACCTTTTTTTCCCTTTCAAACTATATATATATGTATGTATATCATATAATTCCTCTAGTTATACCTCAATGTTGAGATAAGTGTCTTTTAAAACACTGCTAACACTATGTGATCGTGGCAGGTACAACAGAATCTAATCAACCTTCAGGCCCTGGGAGTTCGGATGAAAGTGGATGCTCATCACGTAAACGTGCTAGAAAGGGAACTCTTTGTGATGGCATGTTTGATCTCAACTTGCCTCCTGAGGTCATTGATAGAAATTGATCTTAGAATTGCCATTCATTTTATATACAAGTGTACAGCTCAGCTCTAACTTATGAGCACTCTTTTTTAAATGATTATTGGTGGATTAAGTACCCGGATGTTTTGCTTTTTATTTTTCAATTTTCCAATTTCGTAGCTCCCCCGTCTTTTTGAGATGACATGGAAGAGAAATTAGGGCGGACTTATTTTTAAATCTTCCCCTTTTGTTTTTGGAAATCCTTATATTGTAAATATTCTTTCATTAGGTTCCTATGCATCATAAATCTTTGTATCCTCTACTCGAGATACAAAGGATGCTAATCATTGGGAGGATGGCATGATAGGATAAATATGGGGATATTTAACTGACTTCGGTTTATTAATGCTGTAAAGCTTCTGTTGGGTTATCTTTATTTCTCATTTGTATTTGTTTTTAATTTTTATTCAGCTCTAGTTATGGATGAATAGTGAATACCGACTGTTTCAATGAACATAAATCGTTGTATTTTCTACTTGGAGACGATGTTTTTGGAGTCTTCTGGTGAATGTTTTTTTGGTTGTTGATGCTGTTTCAATTGATAAGGCTGAAATTGGGATTATAGTAAATTTGGGTTGTGATGGATTGTTGTAGAAAGGTTTTTTGATTTGAGTATGTGAAAATGGAAACATATTGAATCGTAAATGGTCATCTTTTGTGTGTGGGAGGTCTCTCTTTTGATTTGCAATGGCCGTAGGAGTTAGTTAACAATTTACTTTGTGTTGCTGTTCTTGCTTGTGTTTCGGAATGCCCCTAATTTGTTGGATTTGTTCCTTGTCATACTCTGTCTTTTTTACGTTTTCGTAGGGTTTCTCTGGAAGTGGGAGTTGGGAAGCATAGGGAACAGTTGAAGGATACTGTAGTGCTCTGGGGGCGTAACAAGAAGTTTTGGAATGGTTTAATGTTTTTTCACTTTGTTTCCGGGAAGAGATCAACCTGTATGGTCTATGGATAAGGGCTGGAAGAGTAATGTGGTGGATCGTAGAGATGATTCGGTGTTGCAGTAGATATCTCGCCGGATTCTCACAATTCATGTGACCGGAATTGCACGGAGAAAGAAATCAGCATTCCGTCACCAAAATGGTGGAGTAAATTTGGAGTCGAAGAAAGATGTTATGGGTGAAAATATTCCAAGATTTGTTGAATGCCTTCCTGAATTAATGGTTTGGCCTTCAACTGCATTAGTTATATGCATGTGGAGAGAGAAAAAGGAGAGATGGGAAGTAATTAAAATAGATGCAAAAAGCGGATACACAGAGAGAGACTGACTTGAAATCTGCTTAAAAATCCATGGGTCATGAGAAAGTGAAGGGAAGGAAAGGTAAATAAATATATTACACTGATTTATTTTTGAACAGAATCGTCTTACATTGGTGATATTTTTTCAAAAACCATGATTTCTCAAGGATTTGATTTCATGTTGGACTAATTTATGGATGGCTTGTGACAACTAAAAATACAAGTCTTATTGGTTATTTTTAATTGTGGAAATATAGTAGAAAAATAAGTATATACAGAAATACCTAGGTTATTCAAAGTTTCGAACACACTAGATTCCAAATCCTTCGAAATTCCTTGTAATTAATATACCCCTAACGATTTGGGAGCAGCGGATTAATGTTTTGAATTTGAAATAAAAAGAAATTTAGTTTAAAATTATAAGAAATTTAGTACATATCTGACAGTTGTATATATATTTTTTTGTGTGTAAATATGATGTGTTACGATTGATTTACACAAAAAAAATTGAATTATTTATTTTTAACTCCAATGTTTGTTTTATATATACTTAATATAAGTTTAATTCTTTAATGAAATGAAAAAAAGAGAGGAGAAATAAAATATGTTAATGTGGCTATGTAAAAAATTATGTAAAATACACAACAATTTTACACATTTGTGTATCTTAATAGAATGCTAGCGATATTTTAACAGACTGTTCGAGATGCTCTTATCGTCAGGTCCGGAGAAACTCTAACCTTCTTGTAATTTAATCCAATTTTAAATTTAAGCTATTCTGTGTTTACAAATATAACATTAATATTTTTATTTTTATATCTCCCTCTCACATAAGTTAACACTCAAGAAGCAATCGTTTTTTGTTCTTTTTTCTAAAAAACCTCATAGACAATTACCCAGGTTTTGAAGATGCTTTTTATTCTTAAATCATTGGCATTCACGAGCCTTCGGAAACTTCGCTGCTGTGTCTTTGACTTCTCTCTCTCTAGTGCTGTAGGCAGTTAGAAATGACTGCAACCGCGTTCATCAATCTAGCCATAAAGATTCCGCCTGCTGCCTCGTTTTCTTATTGATAAATTATTATTTTACCCCGACAAATTAGGAAATACTCGAACACAAGTGCACCTGTTCGAACAATTGAGTGCTTTATCAAGTATGTCATTGAATAATATACTTATTCATAAATTATTTAAGAAATGTAGTGCTCTCAGTTAGGAATGTGAATAAGGTTAACAAAACATTTGCTTGGATTACTGAATTGACGTGTCAATATTAGTTTGAATTTTGAATTAAACTTTTTGAATTTCAAAACGCTGATCTCTGATGTTGCATCCTTATTGAGGTTTTACATACAAGTGACAGGGATTCTCATTTTTCCTCATGAGCTTAATTACTTATATTTAGGGTAAATTACTTCTATCTTTCTTGATATTTGGCTTAATTACTCTTGCATTAAAGTTTTTAATAGGAATCCGACAACGGTTATTTGCTTTATGGTTCATGACATGATGATGCTCATGACATTTACCTTTAGGTTTCATTGCAAATTTGCCTAAACATGTCTCTTTCAAATTAACCCTTTCCTTCTTAGCTTGTTTCACAAATGGATTTTATGTCAAATTGCCAAAAAAAATTAAAATTTAAAATAATCTAAATCTAAATCATTTTAGAATTTATAATAGAATGGAAATGAACAAATTTTAAAGGGTAAATTACATGGATCTCTTTTATAGTTTGTCATAATTACAAGGACCTCCTCTTTGATCTGAAAATTTACTCAGACTTTTCCTAAAAATGAAACTAACCTACACGAACTTCCATTTCTAGTGATGGGCCGTCAAATGCGCTAAAATTTTTGTTTAATTTACTTAAATACCCTAAAATTGTTATGATAAATGATTGCAGTAATACCTTATTATGTGTGAGAGAGAGATGGACAAAGGGTAATATTGAAATTTCAATTATTCAGTACATGATATCAGTAAAATTCGTCATTGACTAGGGCTGACCGTAATAGAAGGGACGTTCGTGTAAATTAGTTTCATTTTTAGGAAAGTCTGAGTAATTTTTCAAATTACAAAATAAATCCTAATAATTATGACAAATTATAAGGAGGCCAGTATAATTTACTCAATTTTAAAACTAAGGATCTAGATACGATAAATCTAATGGAAAATACTATACATATATATATATACGATATATATATATATATATGACCATCTACATTTGTTCACCAAAGTCAAATTGTCTTATGACAAATCATTTTGATAACAATCCATCTCACACTGTCCTACGACATGTTCTTTTTTGTCTTTTGCCATTTCAATATTTCAATTCTGGGAAGATGAGATCTATATAATGTAGTTTAATTATTGGTTGACCTTCCAATGGTTTTTTATACACTAAAAGGGCTATATATATATATATATATGGATACTTAAAAGAGTCTGATTCAAAAATTATATAAAATATATATAATATATACACACTGACACACACATAGACCAAGGTATATATATATATATATATTTGTTATCTATATAATGTACTCCAGTTTGATTATTGGTTGACCTTCCAATGGTTTTTTTATACACTAAAATATATATATATACACACACACACCGACACGTACATGGACCAAGGTATATATATATATATACACACACACACGTACATAGACCAAGGTATATATAAATACCTTGTAATGGCTTTGGTACACACCGACACGTACATAGAGTCACAAATATTAATATCCTAGCACTAATTGTAATGGCTTTGGTAGCTGTAGAATCTTTGTTATCTTCCCATTAAACAAACTAATCAACGCAACTCGAAGTTTTTAATTGGTCTGAAAGCATGTCTGTCAGTTCATTTTTAAAATCGATTCTTGGCTTAATTACCCGACAAGAAAAAAAATTGATATTTTTTTCTTAATTTAAACATTTATATTATCATCGGAAGATAAAAACAAAAGTAACGTGTGACTTAGGATTGTTCTAATATAATTTTTTTGCTTGCTTGTTTGAATATCACTAGTGACAAAATTGCAAATTTTTTTTATAATTTAATCCTCCATGTCCTACAAGTTTGAAATATATTAGTACATTGTAATCTACAATTATATTTTATGATTTAGACTCTCTCAAATACATTGTTGTGATAAAAAATAATATATATTTATTTAAAATTCATTGAGAAAGGTACATTTTATTATCGTTGGGACAAAAAAAACAACTGGCTATCATTGACCCAACACCACCCGAGTGGCCACCGCCACCCGAATTCTCAGTGTAAATCTACTAGTTATAATGCAAGAAGGAACACACTCGGCTGTCTCACTCTCTTTTTTACATCCTAGCTCATAAACAGGTGCACCCAATGCATCTTGGATTTTTTCTTAGTTGGAGGAGATTCCGTAGAAAATCCTCCATGCAATGCCTGTGAAGAAACACTAGGTAAGTATGTCTTCACCTGTAAATCAAACAATTTTCCCAACTATCATAACATTTTCACATTCAAAGGCACATATATGACTTTATTTTATAGACAGAATTACTTAAAAGTAAATCCAAATGAAGTAGCTTTTGAGCAGTAGAATTGATAAAAAATTGCGGTCATTAAAAAAAAATGAAAAAATGTTAGGTGTTTGGTGAGATAATGACATATTATAATAAGTACTTTTTATAATTAAATTATTTTTAATTTATTTGATAATAATATATTTTTAAACACTTTTATTACTAATTTTATAACAATATCCTTTAATAGGGTGTTATCATATTTGATAATAGCAACTTTATTAAGAAATGAGTGTAATTGTATTTATAAAAAATAAAAAAGAAAAAATTATCGAATGAAAAAGAGTTACCAAAAATATTCAAGAACGGAGGTTTGAAAGTTCCAAGCTTCATTTAAAAGATCAATTCCAACTTCATTTAAAAGATCTACTGAGTTAAATTTGGTAACGATTAATTGAGTTTTTAATGGTTACTAAACAAATCTAGACGCAATTTTTTAAAATAAAACTATTTTTAAGCAGTAGAGAAACAATCTAAAACAGGCTATAAGGCTGAGTCCAAACAAAGTTTCACTTAAATGAGAAGTCTAGTTTGATTTTCTATTTTGGAATAGAAATCATCTAAAAGAATTACGGATACTTCTATGAAGTGTAGTATTCATATTCGATAGAAGTGTCATGTCAGTAGTGTCAGTATTCGACATCGTGTTGGATGCTAATACACCAA